GCCCGGTCCCCCCCCCCGGCCCCCGGGGGCGGGCGGCGATGGCTGAGCCCGGTCCCGCGGTGCGGAGGAAGAGCCGCCCCGGCTCTGTCCGCAAGCGGAGCCGGGCCCCGGCGCAGCCGAGCCCCGTCAGCTCGCCCGTGGCTCCCAAGAGACGGAGCTCCGGTGGCGAGGAGCCCCCGGCGGAGACGCCGGTAGGGGGATGGCGGGGTGCGGGCAGGCGCCTGGGCTGGGCGTCGAGGCGGGGGGGCTCCGCCCGGGAGGGTGGCCCGGCCCGAGCCTGCCTGGCGTTCATCGGGGAGGGCCTTGCTTTGTACGAGAGGGGGAGCGTTTGGCTTTAACTTTAAAAAAAATTCATCGCTCCCAAGTAGCTATGCAGGCAGCATGTCTACTTGTAGGCTGAGTGTCACTGAGTTAAAGCATGCATTCCTTTAGAAGTCAAGCTAGGTTTTCCTCACAAACAGCATCAGAAAAACACTTAACTTTCTTGTTACGTTGGTGAAGACTTAAATGACTTGCATCTCATGTGCATGCTGTACAAATCAGGCTGCTGCCCTTGGTGTTACTTTGGAATATTAATACTTGTTGTGTTTTTACAGTGTAGCAATGATAGTGAAGAAGATATGTTTGGCGACTATGACAGCTTTTATGGAAGTGATTCTTTGCTAGCTCAAGTTGATGATATAGAGCACAAATACCTGCAGGATAAAAGTATGGATGTTAAAGCAGCTGGAGAAGTCATACTTGGGAATCTTCAGCCAGGAACTCACCAGAAAAAAAAAGATAATTTTTCTACTTCAGAAAATACGGTTGTCCTTCAAGCTGACAAAGAGGATGCTTTCCAAATGAATGAAAGTGACATGGTGGATAGCAATCAAGAACCAACTGAATCTATTTTAGATGACTTGCCATCATCACAACTTTTGTATTTTGAGAAAACGGATGAACTTTCTTCTGGTTCTAGAACATCTCCGGTCTCAGAAAGGAGGAGTAAAGGTGTGACTTCTTCCTCAGACAAAATCAGGAGTCCATCATCTTTTTGTCCTGATGCTGAACACAGGAGCAGACCTACTGACTTTTCCTCAGACTCCAAGTGTGATTTATTTAAAACTGAGAGTCTTAAAGATCATCTGAAAAGCGCTATGACTGGAAATGCCAAAGCCCAGACTCTGCAGGTCTCTAAGACCAAGCAGCTTAAAGAAGCTCTTTTATCCGAAGAGATTTGCGTTGCTAGGAAAACTATTGAATCTTCTTATGTTGACATAGGCCCTTTTTATGGATTACCTAGCAAAGTTAAAGATCTCTTCAGACAATTTCGAGGGATTGAAACGCTTTATGGTAATGTAGCTAATGGTTTGTTGACAAAAAATTGCTAGTGAAGTGTTCCCCGTTTTACCCATTACACTGTAAAAATATTTAAGTTAGTATTTAATGTAAACCATGTTGGAAAGTGGTTGTTTTGTTTTATTAAGTGGTTATTTTGGTTTTTTAGATGGGTGGGAAAGGTTGATATGGCTTATAGAATACTTCGGAAGGCTTGATCACTGAAAGCTTTTAGCAGTTTATTGAAGAAAAACTCTCAAACACTAGGCTTAAAGTATTCTATAGGAAACGTAAGCATTTTGATATTAATTAACATGCCCCTGGGTGTTGCTAATAATTCTTTTTTAATTTTGCAGAATGGCAGCATGATTGTTTAATGTTAGAATCTCTACAGCACAGAAAGAATTTAATATACTCATTGCCAACCAGTGGTGGAAAAACACTTGTAGCTGAAATAATAATTCTCCAAGAATTACTCTGCAGGCAGAAAGATGTTCTGATGATCCTGCCATATGTTGCTATTGTCCAGGAAAAGGTCTGGATACAGTGTTTCTGATACTGCTTATCTTTTCTGATATGCCTTGTTACTTGGCTGGTTTTAACACTAATTTTAGCAAACTCCATAATTTTCATAAATATATGGTGGGAAGTGACTTCTCTTGTAAATGCTGCTCTGAGGGTGGGTAATTTTGTAATAAAACAGACTTAAATTATGAGGTGAAGATGCTGAGTTATAAAGTGAATTGTGCTGAATTTTGGAATAACAGCTTTTTGCAATGTTATGTATAGTTCTGCAGTCTTAGAGCTGTACCTGCCCAACTTGCTAAAGAAATGGTCTTTAAATAAAAACTAATATTTTTTTGATATAAAGGAAAAGCTAGTTTTGGAGAATAGATGTAACCCAAGCTTGATAATATTTGTAAACACTTCAGCTTTGCAACTGGAAAAGGTGGTCATAGCTAATAGTTTTCACTAATTCAAACAGTTGATTGTGGTGTGGGTTGGTTATATGCATGTTGAGTTCTTAAGACAGCTCTGAAACCCACAATGAGCATGAGCTTGTTCTTTAATTGATCTTTTTGTTTTTCTACAGATTAGGGGTTTATCGAGTTTTGGGATAGAATTGGGTTTCCTGGTTGAAGAATACGCAGGAAGTAAAGGAAGATTTCCACCAATCAAGAGGAGAAAAAAAAAGTCTCTTTATATTGCTACTATAGAAAAAGGACACGCTCTAGTGAACTCCTTAATTGAAACAGAAAGAATTGATGACCTCGGTCTGGTTGTAGTAGATGAGGTATGCTACAAGTTTCACTCAGATTTATAATATGCTATTTTTTGTATTTATAATAAGCAATTATTAGCAAAGAGCAGTTTTTTGATTACTTGGTTTTGCTTTGAGTGTTCATCATGAAATTATTACTACTTAACTAAGTTTTTTCTGCATTGGTACATAATTCTGTAATATTGAAAGTTATTTTTCTGTAACTGAAGCATCTGTTGCTATATCAGGACAACAGATTCTATATTGAGAGATCTACTGTGTTAGTGGTTGATGGTGAATTACTTAGCAACTACATGTCAATTAGACATCTTTAATGGATTAGAAAAAACATAAATCATTTTAACCATATGGAATCTATTTTATGAATCCCAGAACTGAGCTCCTAAATATGAAACCATGAGACTTTGTGTCTCGTATTAATAATGACTAAACGAAACACTAAAAAAAAGAAAAATATCAAGTAACATTTGACTGGGAAAATTGCCCCTTATTCTGCTTTTTAGTGGTGTGGCTGAGTTGAGCTACTAAGGGTTGATTGTGGGGTTGAATCACATGTATAACATCTAACAGGGATGTTTAACTTGTGGAGTGCTTCAGGCTGACTGACCTTACTTTAACACAGTAGCTTCTAAAGAGAAGGTGGCTTAAGGATTAACTTCAACTTTTTCTGGAAGTAGCTGGCTGCTAGAAAATTTTTTATTAACTTCCAGTGTAAGTGTTGCTTCAAACACGGTTTGTTTAAAATTGCTTTAGGCTGGTGAATACAAAGATCTCCACACTGACTGTTTACTGTCAGGAGTTAACTGTTTGTGTCAGTTATGGTCTCGTTAAATGGAAGGTAAATCTTGTTATCGATGTTTGCTCTTGGGTCTGTTTTTCCGTGATTCTTAAATGCTGTTTCAGTGAGGATGTACTTCTGGAAGGAGCTTAGCAGTCAAACTTTACCAGAGGGATATCATGAGGAAGTCTAACAAAGACATCCCTGTAATATTTGTTTAAGACTACATAATTTGGGGTTTTTTTTGTAGAAATACTCTTAACTCAGTAATATTTTTGCATTTTCTTTTTCCCTTCTGTGTACAGTTGCATATGCTTGGTGAGGGAAGTCGTGGAGCAACACTGGAAATTACCCTTGCGAAAATTCTTTACACTAGTAGTAAGTCATGGCTGCAGTTAATGTCATTAAAAAATTGTAGTGATGGCATCTCTAGAGAGAAATCGTACTTTTGCTTTCTGGATTTGTGGTGTTCTGGTTGCTTTTGAAAAACATGGCATGACTCCATGCAGTAACAGTGCTTACTCATTTAAGTGTTACAGTTGAGCCTGTCATGATGGGCTGGGTGTTTTTGAAGCTTTTTTGAAACTACTTCTCTGAGAAATCCTCAGTATTGTCATTCCATTTCTTCGTAGGGGCCCCTTAGCCATTCCAATTAAATGCTTCTATAGAGAAGGATTTCTTTTTTATGTTTACATCTCGGGTAACATTTCTTAGCTATATCCCCCTTCAAACCCGCTACTTTGGCATTTAAAAAGACTAACGATGAAGAAGCAGACTTATGAATTAAATACTGAGCAGAAGTGTTAAAAATTGTGAACACGGCAATAAATTAGTCTCAATTTCTGTTTTACAGAAAACACGCAAATCATTGGAATGAGTGCAACTTTAAATAATGTTGGAGACCTGCAGAAGTTCTTGCAAGCGGAGTACTATACTAATAATTTTAGACCGGTCTGTACACAAGATACCATAAACTAGTAAAGATGATATTTGGCTTTAAATTTGTAGCAAATCTGTTTAGGATTGTATCACAGCTCCTGTGCTTAATTTCGCGGTGCAATGTAATATAATGCCTGCTACTGCTTGCGATTGTACCAATACAATAAATAGCACTATGCGCTTGTAAGTGCACAAATGCAAGTACCTTTATATTGTTATGTTAAGCCATTTGTGTCATTTTAACGAAACCAATTTCTAAATTACAGCTACTATGATAAATCATTACAGTTCATTTGATATAACTAGAATCTGTACTACTGGTGCTTGAATGCTGTCATGACAATGGTTTATGAATAGTTCACAGAATACAACATTTGTCATATTCTTTGTTATAATTAGACACTTTATTAAGGCAGATAATGAAAACAAAAAAAAAATCTTGATGGGGTGGAGTGTGTGCTTGCGTGCATGCAAGCATGTATATGAAACGTGATGCTTAGTAAAAAACATTAGCTGTGCATCAGTAATAGCTTAATCTTTAGAGAAGACTTGGTAATTTAACTAAAGTTTCTGTTTATGGCTGACATCTCCCTAGGTAGAATTAAAGGAATACGTAAAGATACGAGACACCATTTACGCAGTTGACAGCAAAACAGAAAATGGCTTTACTTTTTCACGTCTCCTTAATTTCAAGGTAAAACCGAACTGCTTATAGTTTCTTTGGACTATAGTTATGAAATGTGTTATTTTACACTGATTTGTTTACAGAGCTTTTACCAAAGAAATTGCTTAAACACAATAGTTCATTTGTAATACCTATGAGAAAGAAAATGGTAGGCTTTGGAGAGGAAAAAGGGCTTTAAAATACTGAACGCTTAACTTGATTTTCACTTCTTTACTGCCCTTTAAGGTAGAGGTTTCGTCAGTGTTTTGATGTGTGAAGAGCAATGGGTTTGAGTGTTCCAAATTCCCTATGCTTTATATTTTTGGGTAGATTTTCTCAACAGTTGATCACTCTTAGACGATACTGAACTAAGACATCTTTTTTTGGTTTTTGTCAGCTTATTACTGCCTTGTAGGCATTCGTTTCAACCTTTAAAAAGAAAACTGTGTGTTATGGTAGACTGCCAGTAGCACAAGTAACATCACTACGGTGTTGCTAAAAGAAATTGAAGTATTAAGGGGCGAAAGCCAAGCATTTGATTCTTACATCTATGTATCCCTCAGGTCAAGCTAGGCGTATTAAATTCTTTCAAGTGAGGATCCGGGAGAAAAGCTTATCCTACAACTTCTTGCAATTATGTCATGTTAAAGCAAATGGGAATATTCTAGTGAAGGCTGAGAACAAGTATTGAATGCTTAGTTTATGACTTAATTTCTAAGTTTAAACATTTGTCAATCTGTGTTTATGATAGTATTCTAGTAATCTGGAGAAAGCAGATCCTGACCACATCATTGCACTGGTTACTGAAGTTATTCCTAAGTATTCCTGCCTAATCTTTTGTCCCACTAAAAAGAATTGTGAAAATGTGGCTTCAATGGTGTGCAAGTACCTCAAGAAGTGAGTTTGTCACGATTTTTTTAATTATATATGGAATAATTGGTCAGAACTTAGGATTTCTCTTCACTAGTTTGCAAGTGACTTTCCCTGGTGATCAGAAATATATACTTTGAATATGGAATCATGTAAAGTTGCTGACTGCATAAATTATAGCAAACTGTTCAAGGCTCATTAAACAAGTGTTTTGCAAAAAAAAAAATCCTTATTTTGTAAACAAACTAGTTGAAAAAATGGTTATTAGAGGCCAAATAATAAATAAAAAAGGGAAAAGCATACTAAATTAATCTCTTCTTGTGTCCCTTTGGCACTGGTCTCTGCAAGCTTAGGAAACAAACATTTTCTCTATAGCCCAGTATTTGGTCATGTATGTTACTAGCTGATTGAGTCTCTCTGCTCCATACCTACTTTGTGAATGTAAGTTGTAAAATCTAAACTAGGCTTTGTTGATAAAGAAAAGAAAGTAAGACTTACATTTGGTTTCATTTAAATGTGATTTGATCAGCCCATAATGGTCTAGCAAAGTTAAATTTTATGTTGAAAGAAATTATATTAAAATAAACAAAACCCCTCCCTTGCTATCAAAATTGAAACCATTTTTGATGTACCTATAATCTTCGCTATGAGCTGATACTGGCCCTATTTCCTTTCTTCGGTGCGCTCGATACCCACACCCAGTCAGTATTTGGTCCCTTCTGTACCTGTGCTTAAAAACAAGAAAAGAGTTCTATTGCAACTTAATCAGTCTCCTGTGTATTGCTATTTTAAAGTTACTGGAAATAACTGTTTTTCCAACCTAGATGTTAGAAGAATGGATAATGAAAGAAATAGACATAAGCATGTCTCTTGATTCTTTAAATAGTTAATGATTGATCAAAGTCTAAAGAAATGCTTTTACTGCTCTAAGAGAATTTAGAGCTCACAGGGAGAAAGAGAAACAAGACCTCATCAAGAACCTAAAGAGTATTGGAAATGGAAGTGTCTGTCCTGTTCTGAAGCAAACAATCCCTTTTGGTATTGCCTATCACCATAGTGGCCTTACAAATGATGAAAGAAAAAGCATAGAGGAAGCATATTCTACAGGTGTCCTGTGTCTGCTTGCTTGCACAGCTACTTTAGCTGCTGGAGTTAACCTGCCAGCTAGAAGGTTAGTGACTGAAACGTATTTCATTGTTGCATTGATTTTTGCTTTGTCAAAAAACCTGCTTTAATAAGTTGGAAATATCGGTGCTATTTAAAGTATGTTTCTGCTTTTACTAGCAAATCGGAAGCGTAAGGAATTTTGTGTTCAACTCGGGACGCAAGACTGCAGTGTTTTTACATAGGAAATGTGAATCAGTAGCAAGTCCCTCAGAATGCAAAGCTGAAGAGCACTTACCTAAATGGAATAAGGAAATTTTAATAAATAGAGGAAATGCTTCAGTATTTCAGTAATGTTATCCAGAAGAATAAGGAATTCATGGTGATTTCTTTAGATATTGTCCTAAGAACAGCATTTAAAATTGTAACAAAAAACAAAACAAAACAACACCAAAACCCAACAAAAATACCCCCAAAACAACAACAAAAATAACCCAAAAAACCAAAACACAGAACAAACCCCGCCAACATAAAAAACAAAAAAACAACAAAAAAACCCAAACACCTTTTCTAAGGAGATATAGTTTGAATATGTTTCAACACAAAAATATGTTTTCTTATGCAAGTGCTGGTAAGTGATGATATGCTGGTAAGTGATGATACGGCTGCCGCACTGTGTATGACCAAAGACTCTTAAGAATCCAATTTTGTGTGCATGTATGTTGGAATAACACATCTGCGGGGAGAAAAAAAATTCAGACAGACAGGTGGTGTCTTTCTAGCATAGCTAATGTATGCTCAGTGTTACTTATGTTTTTTAGCAGGGTTTATTTTGTCTGAGTGACTTTTCACTCTTAATCTCAGGCCTTTGAGTGCATGTAAAGACTAGTTCCAATGTTTCTGCAAAACATAAATATGGCTTATCATTCAATAACCTTAAATTGTTAAATGTTTTCCTGGTTGATTTATACATCTGTTCAAACAGGTGCATTTGATTTTTATTAGTTACTAAGCAAGGGGCATGTATAAAGAATGCATTTGTAACATTTTATTGCTGCTTTAGTAATTTTAATATAAAGCATAACTTACTAAAGACTTCTTTACAGGGTTATTCTCAGAGCTCCTTATGTTGCTAATGACTTCCTGAAGAAGAACCAGTACAAACAAATGATTGGCAGAGCTGGTCGAGCTGGTATTGACAGTGCTGGAGAAAGTATTCTCATAGCGCAAGAAAAAGACAAACACTTGGTAATTTTTACGTAGCTATTGGTAGTTTAAATTGTTGGATTAAGCTGGTGGGATAAACAGGAGGAGCTGAGCTGCCTGGCTTAATTTTTGTTCACTTCTTAATGTTGCAGATACTTGACTTACGTAATAATACCTATAAACTTACCTTTATGTGGTTTGTTTTCAGACGTGAACTGTAAACCTTAGATGTCTACGCTTATTCTCTTTATAAGCTGAATCATGTGTATCAGTATTTTTAAAAGTGTAAAACTAATGCATAAATATTTTCCCTGAACTAATATATTTCTTGCTCTTCTTAGGTTCAGGTTTTAGTTAACAGTCCTTTGGAGAATTGTTACAGCAATCTTCTGCTGGAGTTGACCAAGGGAATGCAGAGCCTGTTGTTATCTTTGGTTGGACTGAAGGTATCAGTTAACTCTTCTCTGTGAGTAACTTAAGTGCTTGGGAATGCAAAGAAAATCTTATCTGTTGATTCTATAGAAAAACCAGCCTTTTTAAACAGGTTGGCTTACAAGTTCAGAACAGCTTCTAATCAGATAAGAAAGACAAAGTTTTGGTTAGTCTTTTTAATTCAGTTATCAAGTAATCACATAACATGACAATTTCCTTATGTGTAAAAGTCAAAGTTATATCTACCTTATGATACATTACAGTATTAATAATATTTCCGATGATTCAAAATACAAATGGAAACAGTGGAAACAAATTAACATGATGCAGTAGTTAGAATAATAGAACAGACCCATCAGATCCATCGTACTGTCTATCATTCGATTTGTTGTCATGTATTTCTGTAGAAACACATTAACAGGATATCAAACTGCTTCTCTGTTCGGTAAATTTTTTCATATACCTTATGAAATGTGTTATGTGAAATGGCACCTTTAAACATGCTAATCGCTTGCAAAACTGATGCAGATAGCAGTTACCCATGAGGAAGTCGACAATTTTATGTGCAGTACATTGCTGGGTGTTCAGCAGCAGCTGCTGTCTAAAGAGAAGAGCCTCTCGGAAATAATTAAAGATGGGCTAGAAAACCTAATAGAAAAAGGACTCCTAAAAGGAAGAATATCTGAGAAGGACCACAATTCAAAATGTACGCTAACAATCACACCGTTGGGTAAAGCTACATATAAAGGTAAGATTTTTTTTTTTTAGTCTTATTATAAACTTTGTTTCAGCAAACCCTTTCATCTCAGCCTTGTCTCAATTAATATGTTTTCCCATTTTCTGTCCAAAACTGCAATGAAAAATAAGTTGTAGAGAGACAGTTTTGATTAAGTTTCCCTTAAGAGGGAAAGGAATCATATGAGATGTAGACCAATTGTAATAAAGAGACTATGTCAGGAAGTTCTGATTTCCTGCCATAGCGTAAAGATATGGGGTGTGGAACGCAATTGGAATAGGATGAATCTCTGACAGATTCCTTCAATCTACAAGATTGTTCCAGGATTTCATTAAAGCCAAGGCAATTCACAAACACTCCAAAACCACACACAGAATGGACATACATGGAAATATTTATGACTGCCTTTCCTCAGTTCCGTTTCACTGCTCATTTTAGGTTAGAGCAATTATTCAGGTTACAGTTATTTCTCTTCAGTTCAGATGGCCTAACAGGCTTTTGTGGAAGATAAAGGAAATACTGACTCTTATGTTAACATCTGTTACACTTAACTCCGTATGTCTGTTTAAAATTGCAATACATTGTGTGCTTATTATAGGGTCTATAGACTTGGCATACTGCAATCTTCTTTACAGAGAATTGAAGAAGGGTTTGGAAGGGCTGATTCTTGAGAGCAATCTTCATCTTCTATATCTGGCAACTCCATATGATATGACTTCTAACTGTAGCCCAGATTGGATGATATACTTGAGACAGGTGAGAATTTACTAGCAAAGATGCATTGGGGCGTGTAGTAATCCTGCTCATTAAATTTTAAGTAAGTTTATACACATAGGAAATGTAGATAGTGGGGTAATGATTTGATAAAAAGTTAAGATATGGTATTGTGTTTTCAGTCACAGGGCGGGAGTGCTTTCCTGTATTGCATAAAAACCTAAGTTCTCTTTTGCATCTACAATATTTGACCCTGTTTGGGGGAAACTGTGGCATGAAACACATCTCTTGAGTTGCCAGTACTCCAAATCCTGACTCTAACCTTGGTGCTAGCCTTGCCATCACCAGAGTCTGGTTAATTTTAAACAAGACTTTCCTATAAACTACATCATTGTAGTCTTGCAAGAAAACCACTATTAAATTAATCAAGAGCCATGTTTACCTTCTGATGCTCGTTCATTTAATCTGTAGTTTAGGGAGCAAAATCCACTAGAGAATGTTAAGTCTTAATCTTTGTTTGATATCTGAGTCTAATGCTTAACTCCAGCCATGATTGCAAGTATTACGTTGTGACCGATACCTTCCAACAGGCTACTATGCTCATGTCAGCCTTAGCAGCACAGGCCTTGTCCTAGTCTTGCACACTCTGTAAGATCCACCCATAATTCAACTACTCCCTTTTCTGTAAAGTGTTGTATACTAGGGGTAGCACTAAAATCTATTTAATTTTGTTAAAATGTGGCATTCGGAGATGAACAGTTACAAACAAGTAGGCAAAGGAGCTGCAGATCTGACTGTGTCTAGTGACTATAGTACTAGTCTAGTGACTAAGTACTATACAGAAATATTGAAAAACATTGTTTCACTTTGATTAATAGACTTGTGTTTTCTGTAATATTAAGAGAACTAAATATCTGAAAATTCTTTATAAAAATCTTATTTTAGTTCAACCAGCTAAGTGCAGCAGAGCAAAAAGTAGCGGATATTGTGGGAGTACCTGAAAGCTTTATTACAAAAAAGGCTTCTGGTCAAGCCATCAGAAAGGTAGGCTGGAGACTTCTCGTACCTAAGATGACAGTTTAGTCCTTTCATTTGATTATTTACACATTCTAGATTATTTTTCTGCTAGTGTTCTTTATTACTGTTCCACTTATTAAGGTTATTTTAACCTCATTGGTTGGTTTTCTTAATGTTGTTTAGTGTCTTTGGGTATAATATAGACATGTTTTCTAGATGCGAAGGAGTAGAGATGAAAAGAATTTCCTTGTAGCAGTAACAGAATATCTTGAATTTGATATTGGCTCTGAATTCTAACTTGCTTTATTCCTAGAATGTGGACAGCGCTGTGGTAAACAGGCTCTACCTGTCATTTGTCCTTTATACCCTACTGAAAGAGACCAATATATGGAGCGTTTCAGAGAAATTTAATATGTCCCGAGGATATGTGCAAAATCTCCTTAATTCTGCTGCCTCATTTGCCTCCTGTGTTCTACATTTCTGTGAGGTAGTGTGTTAAATGAATTCCAATAAATTCTTTGCGATTAGTTTTGCAAAATCTGGAGTTTCGTTCTCTTACATTAGACCTGAATGCAGGTGTTGTATTTCACCTTTCCTGTCCTAAAACTGTTTTTTCACCTTTCCTGTTCAAAATTATTTTTCCTGTTCAGAAAAGCATGCTAGTACAGCGATATATCTTGGATTAAAAGTAAGCTTTATGCACTGAGAATGAAAATATACAAACCGTACAGGGCATTGATCAGTGTCAGTGCTGTTGGTGAAATAGTTGACAATTTTACCTTTCTCTTGGAAGTAAGTCCATCTGGTTGTGGAATGTCATCTCGGGAAAACAGCTGACTCAGCTTGTTCTCTTGGATTTTTTTTTTCCTCTATTGAAATAACGCATTGCTTATCCTTCAGAACTGCCCCAGCTTTGGGATGTTCAGCTGAAGAGTGCATACAGCTGAAGAGTGATTACAACTCTACAACTAGCTGAAAGGATAACTAGAAATAATAGTGCTTCCCCTGTCTAAAAGCCAAATATATGCTTGTTGCCGTAGCAGAGCTCTTATCAGTCACACCCCCCAAATATAGAACTTAGGATCTGATTTTTAGTGATCTTTCTCTCTGCAGGAATTGGAAGAATTCTGGGTTTATAAAGCCTTGCTGACAGAACTTACCAAGCGGTTGACATACTGTGTTAAGACAGAGCTCATCCCTCTGATGGAGGTAGCAGGGGTTCTAGAGGTTAGTAAACCTGGCTTTGTGAGATTTTTCAATGTAAACTTGTACGCTAAACGTTACTGTGCCTTTCAAGTATATGTGGAAGACCAAGCTATTTTTTTATTGAGGATTTGGCTTAGTGCAGATATCCCACAACAGTCCTAGAGGTTGGGGAAAAAGTGGTCGGTTGAGGAAATGTGAGCTGGAGCCAATGATGTTTTTCTTCTGGCTGCTACCACAGCAACAGTGAAAATGCTGTATTTGGACAACAATTTAGCTGTATACTCAGTTGGAAAACAGAGTCCAGGTTTCTTTTGTGGTAAGGATTCTTCAGTTCATGGGAGTAAAGAGGAGGAAGAATTTACATATTTAGTTAAGTTAGAAGATCCCCACAGAAATATGTGAAGTCCTATTGGGAACTTAGGCTTTTACAACCAGTGCTGCATGTATTTTAAATAAGAAACTTAACTGGCCTCTGAATCAAAGATTCCTATTACAGCAGAAAATCTTTTGAGGCTTCAATGCAAGGTTATAAGTAATCTGATAATAAATAAAAGTAAGGAAATAAGTAAAACTGGACCTCTTTGCAAAATGATCTAATCTGCCTGTCCAGCCTATTGTAGAATCCAGTTTGTTAGCAAACCATTGAATTTAATGGTGGTAAGGTTTTATTTTGAAAAGCTAAACAATGATGAAGACTAATTTTTTTTTGTATATATCAAATTTTCTGAATTGGATGCAAAAGGTAAGTAGTCTTTTTTTCATGGCTCACTCCATATGGCAGCATTTCTGTGTAAGGGCAAAAGCAGCCTGGATGGCATGATTCTGCTGAAGGTGTATTTTAAAGGTGACTCTTCAAAATTATTGCTGTAGCCAAGGTACTTCTGCACTGGAGTTAAAACTATACTGACAGCTGGTATTTGTAGCAGGTAGGCTGTCATCTTGAACAGATGTGATTTGCTTAGATTTCTGTGGAGGAAATTATAAAATCAGTCTTAAGGTTACTGTAGTGAAAGAAAATTATTTTCTGCACATTTACTTGCACAGCTTTCAAAGGGCAATCTAAAAACCTTTTCATGAGATTTAAGTCATTAGTGGGGAAGGATTCTGCGTCATCCGTCATACTGTGCGTATAACAGCCAAACAGAGCACAGAAAATATTTGCTGGCAATTAGTGGTTATTTTTGGTGAAATTAATGACACCTACTTCACATCAATGAACACGCATAGTCCTCAGTTGCCATGGAGGAAGACAGTATTTTGTAAGCCGTTATCTGTTGGATGCTAAAAAAACCCCACATATGCCATCCAATAAATGTCTTTCTATTTCTTGTTGTCTTTAAAAGAGGTGAGGGGAAAAAAAAACCAAAAGGTAATTGACTAAATGTTTTGGAGGTGTAACATTTGTTGATCAAATGGGTATTAGTTCATAACTCAGGATACTAAAGCCTTGGGTATACTAAATTACTTCACTACTAGTGTAGAAATGCATTTTAATTTAAACTTTGTAAAGTTATAGCAGTATTTGTTTTGCAAAAGAAATGTTTTCCCAGAGACTCTCTGTTAAGCAAATACTGCTTGGCTACCTTACATAGCAACAGGATCAAACCAAGAGAAGCAGATAACGCACACCCCCTTACACTGGTGATAATCAAATCCCGGATAATCTCTCCGGTGATGCGTATCTCTCCATAGCTCACAGCCATGACTTTGGACAAAGCTAGAGAAATAAAAAAGATACCATGATACGAAACGAAAAATTATTTATAAGCTTGAAGCAGGAAAGTATAGCCTTTTCTGGAATTTTGTGAAAGCTCTGTTCTGTGAAAATTCTGTGAAAAAAAAAAAATTGGGATAAAATCAGCCCTCCTTTCACTTGGACACCTCCAAAGAATGTGAGAGAGTCATTCCTGTCCGTGACAGTGAATGCAGAAAACATGGTAACAAAAGAGGATGGCAGAGTCAGTTATCATCTAGGCTCAGAGAAAATAATGATGAATGGGTTCCTAAGAGCTGGGTAAGATTATATGGGGAGGGAGATCTTAGCGGTAAAGCTGTATTTTTGGGGAGTAAAGATTCTCAGTGTGTATTCATGTTCTTAGAAAGATAAATCAAAGAGAATTGGATTGATACGCAAAGATGAAGTCTTTGAGGCTGGTGCAGAGATTGGCACTTGATGCTAATTCCTGTTGCCTGTTCTAATAATCTAACACAATTTTGGACTTGCAGGCACGAGCAAAACAGCTTTATAATGCAGGATACAAAACTTTAGCACACTTGGCTAATGCAAATCCAGAAACTCTGGTCAAGATGATTGAGCACTTGTCACGACGTCAAGCCAAACAAATTGTTTCATCTGCACAGGTAAGTTAGAAACAAAGTTATACCTGCTTCAGAACTACAATATGTCAAAAGTGGATGTCTGAATGACATTAGAAGTGAAGGATTCGGTTTACTAGTAAAGGCATTAGTGGATATTTGTGATCCAAATACTGACCTGTATTAAGAATATATTGAAATATTTTCCTGACAATATGGTTTATCTAAGGTGGTTAAGAGTAATGAATTGAGCAATTGCTGACCTTCGTGCTCCCGAATGATAGGCAAACTTAAGCTTTCCTTAAAACAATTTGTTATATACAGGATAGTGGAAAGTTGTGCTCTTTTTCAGAGGGAAAGCAAAGGGCAAAAATATTTGACAGCTTGTCTGATGAAATGCGGGAACTAAATGTCTCTGTGCTGAGTCGTCATAACCAAAAATGCTTGATTCTGCTAATACCTCAGGACTTACCTTACAGAAATTCTAGTGGTAGTTGTGATAAAAGGACAGGATTTTCAGGACTGTAGAAATGGGAACGAACAAGGTATAGGGTTAACCTCAGCTATTTAGGTTGCTTTTGTCATGCCCTGTTATTCTTTCCTTTCTGATTGTTTTCCATTTTGAATATGTATCATGAGAAGGGCCTTCACTTAATATCTGTCTCTAAGGCCCACATAAATAATCCAAGGGAAAGGATCGGTAACAAACGTTGAGTTGTGCCTAAACAAAAAATACAGAAAGTATTTTATTTATCAAGTGCTAGTGTTTTCTCTCCTCAGTCTTCATTAATCATCTGCTGTTGCAATGGCATCGGCTTCATGTTTGATTCTGCTAAAATAGCAAGCTTTTGGTAAAGTAAGGGAATGCCTAGAATAAATGAATGGGTGGTTGGTGTAAAAATGATGCAGTCAGTAACGAAGTCTTGGTTTGTATATTCTCACAGAGTAAAAGTACTAACTTTGGGGTTCGTGTGCTTGAAAAAAGGTCATGGCCATTTAATGTTGTAGGCTCCTTACTGCTTTTTTTTGCTGCTGTGTGAGCCAAAAGAAAAAGATATATGCAGATTCCTGATCTACATCAGTGTCAAATCCAGCAATCTAGCTTACTGTCATGCTCAGATATTAAACCGATGGAGTTTTCTCTAACTGGGAAGTTAGAAGACTGCTTGCGTGTGTTATGCTACACGTGCTACTGGGGGACTGTTCTGCTCCCAACTGCCAAGCTAATATCAGGCGTCCTATACATCTGGTGTAAAATGCTGTAGTAAGAAATGTTGTATAAAGCAAGAAATTGGCAACTTGGCAAGCAGAACTTACAAACGTTTATTCCAACATAGACAATAAATGTTTAAGGTTAAAAATGCTCTTGTTAACAGTTCTAGACAAAACTGTTCTGTTAAATTTTGTGTATTATGTGATGACAGAACTGAGAAAAACCAACTGTGTACTGTATGAATTTTTGTGTTGGTGTTTTTCATATGGGCATACACTAAACAGTAAAAACTGTTGGTAGTAGTACTTGTGAAAATGTTAGTCCTTTGAGGCAAAGGTACTGTGGCCCTGTGAGCAGCAGCAGAAGTCTTTTACAGACCAGATGCAAGTTTGGAAAGAAACATTGGTGTTTTAACCTGTCTAACAGTTATAGCTAACGCTTGTATTCATTTTCTAATTTTTTTTTCCATTACAGATGCTGCTGAGTGAAAAAGCTGAGGCTTTACAAGAAGAAGTTGAAGAACTCTTAAAAGTGCCTACAGATATCCCAGGGACCTACTGACCAACTGTCATGAAGAAAAAATCATGAATCCATAAATTGGGATATTTTTAAATTTTTAACTTTCCTGTGTAAAACTGCTGTAATTATAATAAATATTTAATGTCTTTTGTATACCTCAATTTTGTGTGAGTTCCGAGTTAAGAGTGTTTCTTGGAAAGTTGACTTCATTTGAAGGTTTTGATTATGAACCTCTTGAGCCATAGGCTAGAATCAAAAGATGTGATCTTAATTCATTCCTGTTGTTAGACATAGCCCTAGGAGTGCTTTGGGAACTGGACTAACTGCCTGGGGTGTACTTCCACCTAGAGTTTAGGTTCATAGCTGACTTAAATAATGCCTTTACATTGGATATTCCTTTTAGGACACATGTGCTTGAGTGAGCTACTCCAAAATTCCTACTTGCAGGAATCTCTGTACTCTAGGTGTAGCTAATAGAAGGAGAGAAACAGAATCGCAATTCATAACAAAGAAGTTGTCCCGGAGTTGTGTAAGAAACTGTAAATGATGCCTAGTTTAAGCCTCGTTAAACGATGCAAATATCAAATTCGTATTCAGCCCCTGGCAGTTCCCCGAGAGAGAATTCTTTCAGGATGTTTCTGTAGCAGTTTTCCAAACAGAAAGTTTACATTTTTTTGTATGTTTTGAAATTTCTTGCTTAAATGTGAAGACTAATAAAGACTAACGCAGGCTTGAAGAACTGATTTTCGAGAAGCCATATCAAGTTCTGAGACTCCGTGGGCGTGTGTCAGTCACACCCGTTAGGATTTTTAAAGGGATCTGAACCAGATTTGCCCCAGCAAAGTTAGGCTTCAATGAAAGTAGTTTTGAATATGCCTGAAACTTCTTCAGTTGTGATACAGTGAACTCCTTTTCGAGGCTGGTACGTAGCACATAATGTTAGAGCACTGCATGTTAAGCAGAAGTTGAAAGCTGTGACAGACTGCTGGGTTAAATCAGGGTAGCCAGTACACTGACGCACTTAAATATGGCATTTTTGTTGAAAATCAGTTGTCCCTTCGCAGTAAAGTAAGATACACCTTAGTTAAACTGTCCTTTTTATTCAACTTAGGTTAATTATGTTGGGATTCTAGAGGAATGTTTTTAAATCCAGTGGGGTGGTTACAGGTTGAACACTTGACTGAAAGGGGTGATGGTGAAAAACTCATGAAAAGGCTAGTATTGTACTGCTCGTTTTGTTGTTGCGTTAGAGGAAATCATAGGCAGCAATTAAATAAATTCTTTATGAGCCTTCATTTAGCAGAAACATGCCTCTAAGGTCATAATTATGATACTTCATAGTGGCTTACAAAGTTTGGATAAGTGAAATATTTGAGTGCATTCAGTATTAAACCAGGTCAAGAATTTAAAACCAGAATGTTTCAGAGGCAGCATGGTAGGCAGGGAGGTGATCGTGCCCCTGTACTCGGCACTGGTGAGGCTGCACCTCGAGTGCTGTGTTCAGTTTTGGGCCCCTCCCTACAAGAAGGACATGGAGGGGCTGGAGCGTGTCCAGAGGAGGGCAACGAAGCTGGGGAAGGGTCTGGAGCACAAGTCTTGTGAGGAGTGGCTGAGGGAGCTGGGGTTGTTTAGTCTGGAGAAGAGGAGGCTGAGGGGAGACCTTATTGCTCTCTACAACTGCTTGAAAGGAGGTTGTAGCAGGGTGGGGGTCGGTCTCTTCTCCCTAGTGACAAGCGATAGGATGAGAGGAAACAGCCTCAAGCTGCGCCAGGGGAAGTTTAGATTGGATATTAGGAAAAACTTCTTCACCAAAAGGGTGGTCAAGCATTGGACCAGGCTGCCCAGGGAAGTGGTTGAGTCCCCATCCCTGGAGGTATTTAAAAGACGGGTAGACGTGGTGCTTGAGGACATGGTTTAGTGGTGGACTTGGCAGTGCTGGGTTGACGGTTGGACTCAATGATCTTAAGGGTCTTTTCCAACTTTAACGATTCCGTGATTCTGTGATTCATTTACACTGCTAGATTCAGCGTCTGTAGGGGAATCCTGTTACTGATACTTCAGTGCCTAAGGCACAAATGGTTTTGGAAACATAAGAAAATGTTAAGTTGGCTCTAACAATAAGGTATAATTGTCCCTCAAGTGCAGAAGCAATATTTGCCATAACTTGAGGTTGTCTAACTCTGTCTCTTAATGCCTTGCCCTTTAAATTGAGATATATTTTTGACCAAATGATAGATAATATTAAATTCTCTATTGGTTTATTTGTGTTATCTTCAAAAGACAGATGATGCTCACTGCAGCATAAATGTGAATACATATCTAAGCGGTCGATGTAGCATGCGTGTAGGAAAATTCATGATGCCTGTAAGGCCTAACCAGTTGCTCTAAAGGTTTATTGGTGCTTGATGATGTTCCTCCAAAGTCTGAAACAGTCTTGCATGGATTTGGGGGGAAAAAAAACAGAGCAAATTACTGTAAAATTATTCACTCCAAGTACTGAGTTGTTGCAATAACTGATGTTGTGGAAATAATCAATTAATTGCTACATTAGCTACAGGAGTAGTTAATGAGTCATTAACCTCTGTCACAATACTTTCCATGATATTTGTACTTGTATGCTAATTTAAAAAGTGTGCATTTTTGTTTTTATATTGTGGAGGAGAAAAAATCACGGCCCATCCTCACCCTTGTACATCACCGTAACAGCCAGCGCTGTTGCAAGATCAGGTTTTGATGTGATGCATGCTTAGGAATGAAGTCAAGTATTCCCTGCAAACGCTGGAGCCCCTTTGAAAATGGTAGCAAAAGCTGGTTTGAAAGAAGCGGGTGGTTTCAGGCCTGCATGAAGCTGGTCTGGAAAGAAAACGAGGTTGACATTTGTTGTCTCTGTGCTTTGCCAGATGGAGGAACGCAACTCCCCCAGGGCTTTCTCCGTGACCTTTGATAACGTCAGAAGTGAAATGAATGAAACTCCGTGATTTGCACTAAAGCTTTGCTATAAGTAGCTCGCCTTAGTTTTCTGAAATTGAACTTATCAAACAAGGCAGTACACATCTTTCACGTTACATTTTCTTTCTACAGTATGTGTTAATGTATGATTAAATGCTTTTCACAGAAAGCTTCTTACCTGGGCTTTTCCCCTGGGTGGAGATGGGGAAAAAAAGTACACAACAGATGCTGGTCACAGTATTTTTGCGCTGCTGGATGATGCTGAGGTGCTTCCGTGTCAAGTACAGTACTGGGCTCATAAAATGCAGTATAACGTGTGGGGGTCAGCATGGGTACGCGTTGGTTTGGTGACGTCTGCTCCGGGCGGTTGTGCTATGGGAAAGCTTGTGCTAAGGGTGGGTTCAGGATGTTTTGGAAGCAAAGATTTTTTACTTGCTTCAATGGGATGTTTAAATCCTAAAGCCTGTGTTAAAGGGGAAGAAGCAACAACGATTAGCTTATCTATGTGAAATAATGACAGATGCTTCAAATCTAAGGTAGGTCATAAAAATATGCTCTATAGGAAGCTCCTGCTAATTTCTTCGTAACCTACAGTAAATTGGATCCGAGCTATGGTGTGTGTAAGCCTCTTCAGGCTGCAACTAGTGCAGAGCAAGTGTTCTGACCACAAACCTTGGCGCGTATTTCTTACTCTTTATGCCTATTCACTTTCTAACTTGCCCGCGTAGACCAGTTCTTGTGTTTGCGCGATTCCCTCCCCTTCCTTCCCCCGAGTCCCTAATTTTGTACTTCCAGGAATCCCTGCACATAACTTGCTGAAAACTGTCTCTCTGGAAGGACTAGTAAGAGGGTCAGGCTTAGGTTAACCTTTAGCTGTTAACTTTCATTGTGTGAAAGAGACCTATTGTGTTCCTGTGTTCTGGAAAGCCGCTTCCATCTGAGCCAGTCCTGCCTAGGCAGCTCTTGCTTTGTCCTTCCTTTTGAAGCTTCATTTCATCTCTTTCAGCATGGTGGTCCAGCACTGAGTATCGGTTGCAATGAGAGCCAAATATTATCACTTAAAAGCTTTGTTTTGGTTAGAAGGGAGACTGAGGGATTTTGTGGTGCTCTGTTTGGCGTGCTGGAGCTCAGCAGCTCCCGTGGTACCCGAAGTTGTCAGCTGCACACTCAGTGGAAACAAAGACTTTTAGCAATATCTATAAAGCTGTGTGCACTTCAAAGAGAACTGCTAAAAACTAGACCCGAAATGTCATTTCCATCTCTGAATAAATAGCGTGTGTGCCATCTGAAAGTCTCATAACCAGCTGGGCTCAGAAATAAAACGAGTTGGGAGCACTGAGAGCTGTGTGCTGTGTCAGGACAAGGTCTGGCTGGGCGTTTGGGAGCAGGGAGTAAGGATAGCTTACAAAAACACCTTCTTGGCATCAGCTTAGTCGTAGTTTCATCTTCCTGAGGCTTCTTATATAGAAATGTAGATTAAGTGCTACTCTGACATGGGTCAGCTCTATTCATCTGCCCAAACACTGCTATGTCACAAGAATTGTTTGCCTTTTGTACGGACAACTCTTCCCTTCTGAATTCCCTTAATATGCACAGGTAAAGCACTGTGACAGATACAGAGAGAGAGAGAGAGAGAGAGAGAGATCAGTTCTTGGTTCTTGCCCAGGAACAGCACTGGGGTCACCGTTAGCAATAGCATGGTGCCGCTGCCGTTGGACCGCTGAAATTCCTGGAAAGTTTTATTTTTAGTTCTTCCTAGTTGTAAAAACCCAGTCAGCCCAGTATGTCTGTTAATGGCATCACTGGCGTGGGAGAAGCAGAATTGCCTCGTAGGAGCTGCATGACCAAAGCATTTGCATACCACAAGGCAGGGGCTAGGCCTTCGTGGAGCGAGGAAGCGGGATGGGGTGCCGGTACGGAGCTGGCTTCAAACAACATGTAAGTGGGTTTAAGCCTAGTCCTGGTTCTTACGCCTTCCCCTTGTAGCTCACAGGCCATCATTCAAGTTCTGCCCTAATTTCCATGAAAATCCAAATACCTCTGTATTGAACTCCTCTACCTTGCAATATTTAAAAATGGGTATAATGCAATGTGAAAAATGCCCAGGCAAAAGCTACCAATTCCCATTTAATACCTGCAGCTCTTCCAGGTAGTAATGCTGGAAGGCGTTATTTTCCAGCTACAAGGTTTTGCAGGCTGCTAAAAGCATAGCACGGTCTACACCTTTCCTACCCACCTCTGCACACAGCGATTTAATCCAAAACGTTGCATTGACCATTTGAAATACGCACCTCGTGCCTCTGCCATGAGAGATACAGCAGAGTGGCGAGTGACTCAACGCACCTCTCTCCAAAGCAGCGCATTGAGGAAATTAAGGGAGAAGTAGTGAATTCCAACAGGGGGAAAAAAAAAAAAATAATCGTGTGCAGGCTGCATCTCACCTGATGGCTATTAACATTTTCTGTACCTGTAGTAATGACCTTAACCTGGTTTGCAGCAATTTGTCATGCACTGAGCTGCATTCTTAAATCCTTGGCTTGCTCATGGGGCTGAGTAGTTTGTGTGGTGCTGATAGACAAATTATTCCTCTGGCAGATAGTCACCCCAGTCCTTCCTGCGGGCGTGGGCATATAATTGGTGGTGTACCCCCGAAATGGGAAGCGTTACACTGACTAAGATAGGGAGACAGGCAGGAGCGTCACTGATGTTTCCTTTCTGGCAGAGCCATGGATGTGTTTATCAAAAACAGAGTTAATTTGGTCTAGTTCTTCTCGTTCCGGTGGCGAGTTACTTAAGAGTACAAAAATGTAGCGCAGGCAGGAACCGGAAGGGCCAGGCAGGCAGCGCTTGAGCCACGCTGATTAATGCCCCGACTTCGGTGAGCGTGGGAAGCGCTGCACCCAAATAAAGTTACAGATAAGGACTGGGCAATTCGCAGCGGGTTCCAGCAGGCGACCGTTTTGAAAACAAACTCAGTAAGAAATGTGGATACTTCAGGATGAACTGATGCAGATGGGAAATGGAATGGTGATGTAAAGTGTAATTGTTTAAAAACCCTGCAAATGTTTCAATAGTGTGCACATTAAGCAATACCCACCCCGGGGCTGCAGCTGGCTGTTTCCCGACAGGGCTCCCTGGCAAGGCTCGCTGTTGCCAAAGGAGAAGGAGTTTCAGCAGAGGCTGGACTCTGCAGGGAGCACCCGGGGGGCAAATCCCAGAGCCTGCTTGAGTCTTTTTTGCAACAGCAATTTTAAGTTGCATGTTGGCTGTAATTAAGCTGTACCTTGTTGCAACGGTGTTGCAGCATGGGGAAGGTGGGTTTGAGCCCGAAGCGGTGGGCTCGCCAAGCGGCACTTGTCACAGGGCCGCTGCGCGCTGCTGTGACTCAGTTTCCCACAGTGGAGGCGCACGGCTGGGATGCCAGGCTGACATCTCACCCCTTCAGCAGCAGCGGTAGCAGTGTTCAGCGCTTTTCCAGCCTGCTGTTTTTGCACGCAGCTGCCCAGGGTTGCGCGGGCAAGGCGGAAAGCTGGAGAAGCTGGCTGGTGGGCTGCAGCGTGCTGCGATGCTGGAAAGGTCGGAGCAGGCAAGGAAACAGCTTGAAACCCAGGTTCATTTTGTAACGGTTGAGGCTGTTGGGAGGGTAACCCAGGGCTTCAGGTGCCTTAGCGTTGATTTGAGGCACCGGAGAGGGGCGAGGCTGGCAGAGCACAGGGGTGCACTTCGAGGATGCTGTTGCAGCCCCAAGCCCCTTTCAGAGGGTAAGGAGGGTCTCGGCGCTGGCTGCTCACGACACCCCCGTCCTTCCCGGCGGGGAGCGGAGGGCTGCGCCCCCGGGCCGGGCCGGGCCCGCCCTCCGCCGGGG